TTGTTGTTGTGTATGTATATGCATAGGTATATCTTTATGTAACTATCCATTTACAAAGAACCCAATTTACAGTAAACTAGTAAGACATTAAACTGGGTTAAGTAGAAGCCAATTAAAAGTGCAAAGCTTACTTTATTCTTTGCTGAAGAAGGTAGAGGACATTTTTAAGACTACCTAATCTCCTGTTTTCAGGGTTTAGTCGGTGATGTCCAAACTGAAAAGGAGACAAAATGAATAAATGAACATTTTTACTGTTAATCTCTGCTTATAGAAGTATGCAAAATTATGGAATATTTTGATTGTTCACAGAAAGTATTGTGATCAAGCTTTTATAATCCTGTACATAACTTAAACATAAACAAATTAAACTTATTATGGCCTTTGAGCCAGAGAGCACAATAATGAAACATGTAAACCTGTAATTGTTATTAAAACTGTTTTTAAAAAGACATACATGCATTAAATTACATTAAATTTAGTATAATGACTTTAACACAGATAGCAGTAGCAATGACCAAAATTTGTGCAACCTGGAAATATATGTCAGGGTCCCGGTTAAATAAGAGCAGTCACAGATAGACAATATGCTGTCTACCAAAGTAGTTCTTTAAAATGGGATAGATATATGGCGTTTTTAAACCCTAATGGACAGAGGTTTTCCAAAGAAAGTCCTAAAGACTAGAATTTGCTATTACTTTTTGTTAGTCAAATTGATAGTAGAGTAGTCTTTTAAGGCTATCCATCCTTTGTAATGTATCATCTTGCTTAACCATGGGCAAAGCTGCAAAAGTGTTGATAAGTACTGCTTCTTCTGTACCAAACTTTGCCTCAATCTGCATATATGCCTGCTATTAGGAGTTACTGCTATTAACAATAGGTTATTAATTAAAATACTATGTAGATCACAAGTAGCAGAGCTGAACAAAGGGGTTTCCCCTCCAACATGTATCCTTTGATTGGATCAATCCAAAGGGTAGCAATAAATTGTTTCCTTTTAAGTGACATGTGAGGTATAATAAATTGCTTAAAAGTCAGTAAGATTCGTTGGCTGCAAGGCAAATGGTTATGGTTGGTTATGGTTTATTAAACTTGTATGCCGTCCTATTCCCAGAAGGGACTCAGGGCGGCTAACAAACTCATAGGGAGGGGGGTAATACAACGAAAGCAAAACAAGACAAACAATTACAAAAAACATATTAAAACTCCGCAACAGGTGCA